CAAGTCCGATAAGAGTTAATAAAATTTATCCTTATCACAAAAAATAAAACAAAATGTTGGAATTTTTCCTCAGATATATTCGTACAGTATCGCAATATCCCGCAATATAATCAGTAGCTATCCTTTATGTTATATTATGGTATAGTTATCCTTTAAATTACTAAAAACCGTTCCTTATCACAAAAAATAAAACAAAGTGGTGGAATTTTTCCTCAGATATATTCGTGCAATATCACAATATCGCGCAATATAATCAGTAGTTATCCATTAAATTACTAAAATCCGTTCCCTATCACAAAAAATAAAACAAAATGGTGGAATTTTTCCTCAGATACTATATTCGTACAATATCACAATATCGCGAAATATAATCAGTAGCTATCCTTTGAATTACTAAAATCCGTTCCTTATCACAAGAAATGAAACAAAATGGTAGAATTTTTCCTCAGATATATTCGTACAGTATCACAATATCGCGCAATATAATCAGTAGTTATCCTTTATGTTATATTATGTTATAGTTAACCTTTAAATTACTAAAAACCGTTCCTTATCACAAGAAATGAAACAAAATGGTGGAATTTTTCCTCAGATATATTCGTACAGTATCGCAAATCCCTCAATATATCATAGCTATCCTTTGATTACTAAAAATCCGTTCCTTATCACAAGAAATGAAACAAAATGGTAGAATTTTTCCTCAGATATATTCGTACAGTATCACAATATCGCGCAATATAATCAGTAGTTATCCTTTATGTTATATTATGTTATAGTTAACCTTTAAATTACTAAAAACCGGTCCTTATCACAAGAAATGAAACAAAATGGTGGAATTTTTTCTCAGATATTCACAATATCGCGCAATATAATCATTAGCTATCCTTTAAATTACTAAAAACCGTTCCTTATCACAAAAAATAAAACAAAATGGTGGAATGTTTCCTCAGATATATTCGCACAATATCACAATATCGCGAAATATAATCAGTAGCTATCCTTTGAATTACTAAAAACCGTTAGAACACAACGCAATGCACGCAGAGAAAACGAATACGATCAACAAAATTATAGTAGTTAAGTAAACAACAATTGCTCACTAAACAACAGCTGAGATGTTCTCTCTCTAGCATTTTATAGCTTTTTAAATCGGCCGCGCGAGACAGTTCGAGCAATTTCTGGAAAGCAAAAAGAGTGGAATTACGGTTACAGCTAACATAGTTGTCAATTACATTTATTCGAATTACATGTACTTTAACTTAAACTACTAAACTTTTATTCAATGTTAAATGCACGTGGTCCTGTATTTTTACTTTTTCGGCGTAGCTCTGTCTTAATACTCGTCGCGCGCTGCATTGCAGGGGGGGGATAAAACAAATTTAATTAAAATTCTAAAAAGGTGTCTAACTAAATGCAAAACATTACGCCAAAATAAATACAATATTACGCCCGAAGGGGCTTCTTTTAACGTTTTTTGGTACCTTTATTTATTAAATATCATGTTCTTCGCATTTAAACCATAAAATTCAATTCAACATCAATATCACAAAATAATTTAAAAAGAGCATATGTTTACAGTTTTCGATGCACAGCCTCGGACGCTGGAGATAATTTTTTTTTTCCCGGTACAGTGTTGCCATTGCTCGCTTTGAAATCATCGAGCTTGTTAATCAAAAATTCGTTAAAGTTTTACAAAATTAAATAGATAATAAAACGAAATCAAAATTCCAAATTTGGGCTTTCATATTCCTAGAGTCGAGTGGAGGACTACGTTATTCAAAAATTCATGCCTCTCGTTACCAGTGTTTTTTCACAGTGCGCGAAACGTACGTACATTCATGCAGATTCTAGTATTTTCATATAACTTTTATTTTAGAAAAGGGAGAAAGCTCATGCGCAAAATCTATGGACATTATAGATTTGTCATGAGTATATTAAAAAGATATATGAGTTGTAATAAACGATTGGTAGGATATATTGAATAATATATTAAATATCTAAATATCCTGCGAAAAATAATTTTCCGATAAAGGCCACTATTATAAATATAAGCATTCTGCAGTGATGTTTGGTCGATGGCTAAACGGAGGTTTATTCATTAAAACCATGAAAAAACTCTTCAATATTATATAGGAAAAATCTAAAACGAAATTAAAAAAAAAAATTCCTCTGTGGTGTGTACCTTTATTCTGAAAATTCACATGTGAAAATTCCATTTCTATGCTAATGCGATATGCATAGAAGAGAGAAAAAAGACGAAAACTTTTGCTGCCATATAAATAAATCTTGATGCTGGAATTATTTTATTACTCAGCGTAAGAAATTTGATACTAAAATTGAAAAATTTTAGTTTTAAAATATTCCTGGAATTTGTGTTCGTAGTTTGAATCTTGTCATCATAAATTTCACAAAGAGTTTTCAGTTAAATAGTAACAATCGAAAACTTATTTTAATTTTTTTTAAATAATTTAACTGCTTATACTATAAGACTAGAAAGTTCGGCGGTCATACGAAGTGACTGCTGTTCTAGATATTATAAATTGTAATTAATATGATTTGTGCAAAGGTGTCTGCCAATTCAAACTGAATTACCCAGGGCAGGCGGCGAGAGCGTCCCCTTACTTACTGCCCCACGGGGTTTTCCCCCTTCTACTCGCTTAATTGCTTAAAGTAGAGTGCAATGAAGGACACCATTGGCGGTACATTTCTTAAGAGCCACCGCTAGCTCAATAAATAAAGGTGATAGTAATAATAAAATGTTAATTCACATGTCAAAGATCTCTTTGTACACAACATTTCTTGTGTAAATCTTTCCATCATTTTTATGCTCGCCTTGCAGAGGACCATTCTTTATTTTTAATTTTACGTCCGTTCTTTTACGAACTTTTGAACAGGAACTCACGAACTCGTGCGTTCAGTTGTAAACCATTTCAAAAACAGATGTTTGCTAATGCAAACAAATGTTCACGTTCCCCCTGACACGCTCAATTTGCGTTCAGCTGAAAATTCAGTTTAAAATATAAAACAGATTTTAATTTTTATAAGGAAAATGCATTTATTGGCAACATTGTATTTCATCTCTAGTTTTGGCACAATAAAAAAAAATTCTGAACTTGGTTTGAAAACCAAAATATGAGAAACCATTGGCTAGTGCAGTTACGCAAGCAACCAATAAACTATCGGCGACAAACACTTAAGTCGCATATATATATATATGTGATGTACCAGCTTTTGTCCGGAATAAATAGATTGGTGAAGAATCATAGATGTAGTCGTAGCTTAAATTATCAGACGATAAGTTTAAAAAACAGGATTTATTTATTATTATTCAGGAGAAATAGCAGTTTCAAAAATGAAGACTCCAGAGTAAATAAAAAAGAATTATTAATAACTTTTTGTATGAAGTTTACTGCATCTTACATTAAAGAAAAGACCCCCCGATATATTTTGCGAGTCTTTTAGCCTCTGCAAGGCGGAGCTTCAAGAACTGACGTCAGCCTCGTCAGCCATTCCGTTCGCTTTAAATATCTCGAGAACATTCTATAACTGTACGTGTAGAAAAGGCGGGAAAAACAACTTGACTACGGGGCTGTGGATTAATTCCACGTAACTTTCAATAAGAGACCGTCGCCATTAAAAATAATACATCAGTTAGAATTTTAAGTGTATTCTTGACTATGGAATTTTATTATTACATATATATACTAGAAAGCCAAGCGGTCATACGAAATGATCGCTGTTTTAGATATTATAAATTGTAATTAAAATGATTTGTGCAAAGGTGTCTGCTAATTCAAACTGGATTACACAGGGCGGGCGACGAGGACGCCCCTTTGTTACTGCCTCACGGGGTTTCTGCCTTCTACTTGCTTAATTGCTTAAAGTAGAATGCAGTGAAGGAAACCACAGGCGGTACATGGTGGGATCCGCCGAGAACTTAACTCGGATAGAACTGCTAGTGTTAATTTGTTTCATTTAATTAGCCATGCGTTCAGAGTTAGTAAATATATACATGTGTGTGTGTAAAACAATATTAAAGAAAATAGTATTTTTATCAGTATGTTATCAGCATTTCATTAGTTCATTAGCATAGTTGTAAGGAATAACAAAAGTGATAGAAAGCCTAGAAATGAAACATAAGACATTGACGGTAATCATGTTGTACGCGATCTACAGCTTTTAATTAGATGTTTATTTCTTAGATGGCGCCACTAAAACTCTTGGAATGGACGCTAAAATTGTGGGAACATGAAGTGATTAAAATAACAACCGATATTAGTGCCGCTATGTAAAAAATAAATATCCTGTAGAAACCGGTAGATCCTATCCTACATGATTACCAAAATGATTGTATTCAGGTCAATTAAATTTGTGTTTTATAATTTCGTTTTATTATTTTTTTTTTTTACTGTAACAACAATTTTATTTCAGTCGCGAGTATTGTAATTGTTGAAAAATAAATTATTAAACATTTCAATATATTTAATTTATAAATGAAATCGTGTAATTTAATGTTATTTACGCATATTTTATTGGTTGTTGCCGAATTTACAGAAAAATAATAACTAACAAGTTATCCTCTAATAAGTATTGAGATAATACTCTTAAGTACCACTTGTAAACTGATTTATATATAGGATTTCCTAAAATAAGTAACAAAATGTATTTACTGCGCTTAAAAAATTACTAATGATTTTAAATTCAATGAAAAAGTTTCGAATTCTTTGAGGCATTGAGTATTTTTGTATTTATGTTTTGAACAGTGAATTTTAAAAAAAATTAACATTTTTATTCAATTCAGATTAACATCTCAACTCAGGCAGACTCATATGTTTATCTGCACGCTCAGAAAATAATGTTTATTAAAACGTAATTCATTTTCCACATTTTGTGCTTCATTAAAGCAAAAGAAAAATTCAAATTTTAAATTTTGTGCAAATTATTTATAATGGATAATCTGATTTATTTTTGATATTTCTTTTCTTTTCTTTTTCTTTCAGGAATGAATATTGATTCAAATTTCTGTAAATTGTTCAATAAATATTTTGGAAAGGATTATAACTTAGATTGTGGCCGCAGTATTATTAAAACCAACGAATGGACTCATGCGAATAGAAAATTCGATTTAAAGACACACAGCTTTAAACATCAAGAAATATTTCTTCCTGCGCCATTTTGCTTTCATGAGAAGAACCGAAATCCTGTAGATTTAATGCTGAAAACGCCACCACAAGTGCACAAGACAACGGCTTTACGCAATCCAGAATTTTCTGAAGAGATGTGTGATAAAGAATCTTCAGTGCCTGAAGCAAGTAGCAGAACTATCCGAGGTTTTCTACTGAGCAATTCGTCAAAGAAAGACTCTAATTTTGACAAAAATTCTGAACTCAGTTCGAAGGTAAACGATGAAAAGCAATTAGATAATGAGTTTATTTTTCGGGAGAGAAAGGAAAATACTTTGAATCATAATTTTGAGGCTCTTGTTTGGTGGGACGCCAGTGACGAGAATGATAAAAAAGCTGAAAATGAATCTTCCGAAGAAAGAAAACCTTCAATTGACTTTCAAACTTGCAATCCAACTATTTGGTCTTTTTATAAAAAACTTTTAACATCTAAGTGGCAGAAATAAAAAAGGCTTATATTGTGTAATAATGTATATGTCTATGTTAACATTCCTTTTATACTATGTATACAGGTTTATATAAAATGCAGTTTTTACATAGAGTTTATGGCTCTAGTTTAGAATTGGGTTCCTCGTCGATTAGCGATAAATTTTGTTAAATTTTGGCAATGCAACCTCATTGCTGGTTATCATGATAGTTTTAATTTTGTTTTAGCTTCCTGATGTTTTTTAAATTAAAATAGATTGATGTGCACATGGACAAAGCTAAAGCAATGCGCGGTGCCTAGTTTGTGCAGATTTTTTTAAGCGAAAATAGATCGATGTGTACATGGACACAGAGTTTGTGCAATTCTTTGACTTCTTAGTTTGGTTTTGTGTAGCGGCCATCTCGAAACTGTGCCTTCCTGGCGCCGATCTTGGCGTCAAAGAAGAATCGCTAAAAAACAAGGGGCATCCAATTGTGAACTTTTACCGAGTTTATGACCACTATAACGTAGATAATAGTTTGATTTAAAAATGCCGTTAGCAAAAGAAACAGGCTTGTAAAGCAAATTATTTTTCTTTTGCGATAATGTCGCAAGTCATAGAAGGAAGAAAAATAAATGTTTATGTAGTTAATGCTCCTGTAATAAAAGTACTAGAAACCAGTTGAGATAAACTTTATAACGAACAGTTAGAGAATCAAAGACTGGTTAATATCAAAATATAATCTCTCAATATCGAACTATATCAAATATATAAATAAGTTTGTATGTTACAATTCTTTCATACTTACTCAGTAATGTACAATGCTTGTCAAGTTAACGTTTAATCTAAAAAGTTATACTTATTGATTAAAACGTTTCTACTAATGTCCACTTGTGTAATTATTTACATTAATTACTTGCAACCGAATATAAAATTAAACTTCTGCGCATAGGTATGAGCATGAAGTATGCAAATTAGACCACTAATAACCTGTTGTGCAACAGATGCATATTGGAATTTGGGTGTGTAAAGTAACACTGTTTAAAGTAAATTAATATGATTTGTAAAAATGAGCAGTATTTAATAATTATAACTCGATGGCCATTTAAATGAAGGACAAAATTGGCGCTTGATTGGTATGCTGGACGGGGGAAACACAGGTATGTCCAATATGTAAAAGCTTACTTATTAGACCTTGAACCCAAATGAACATGTGTGGTGGGCCTTAGGCCTCCAAATTGTAGCCCGTCAGATGCTTTTGGGGACCCTCAAGAATCTCAAAAGGGCATTAGCAGAAGATTGGCGTGCAATTCAACAAACAAGGCCTTGACCAACAGTTTGGTAATTTCCATGGAAGTTCAATATCCTTTAATTCCAATACAGAGAGTACGTAGGCATATTGGGTGCTCATCGAACTGTAACCCGAGATTTTCCCCCCGAGGTTTGACTCAGGAGAATTCCTGGGAAAGTCTTGCTAGGATCTGTACTTAGACAGTCTCAACCACGAAGGTAGAAAAACAGTCTTCACAGGCTGTGCCTGAGTTTACTCGGGACGGTGTAGGCTCGGCAGGGACCGTACTGGTACTGTCTCGTCTGCTCCTTGGCCCATGGGGGTCTCAGCATTGTAGATGAATAAGTGCAGGGCGGCATTTAATTCCGACTGGCAAATAGCCTTAGGATGGAAGTTGTTCCGTCACAAGAATTGTAACCCTGTAAGGATCCTAAGTTTTACTAACTATTATTTTTTTTTATCACTTCTTATTTTGTACTTTCTGCCCAAGTCTTGCTAACGCCCCAGCAAGCCGAAGAGAGGAGTTATTGTAAGCCGCTTGCCATAGTAAGTTTTACTCGGTTGCTGGTTGCCTTCAAGGCCAGAGGTTTAGTCCTCTTGATAATTTTAAACGTATCGTAGTTTTAGCAGCTCTCTGTACTACATACGGATTTTGTTTAAATAACGGCCAATCTTAAATCTAGGCACTGTATATTAATCCAAAGTAGTTTTAGTTAGAGTTTAGTTAGTAGTTTTATATTTTTACGTTCAGACCACAAGTGGTTGGTCTCTGTATTCCGAAGTTCCGGAATCTCTCGTAAAGATAGAAAAATAATAAAGGGTTTTTCGTATATTCCTTCCTGTGTGTTTGTCTACTTCACAATTTATTGAACATAGCTTGAGATAAGCTCCCTGTTCCGAGTCAGGACAGTTCATGTTTCCAAAGCAAGTGAAGAGGAATACAAGTCATGATAACCCCAGGTTGACAGTTTCTCATTCTGAGCTATTGAGAAGTATCTAAATCAGGCTTCAAAATAGCTGTGCTTATTGCTGTAAAAACATCATGTATTTAAAAAATATTGCAGTAAATAACAATTATCTGCTGAAGACTTTTGTACGTTGATTCAAAAGTATCAAAATCTTGAGGAGGCATAGTCAAAGTATTCATAGAATGATACAACGATGGCTAAATTTGGCCAAACAGCAAGTAGTATAAATAGAACGATGAAAATTTTCAGAAAGGGGTAAAAGCAAACTGAACTGGCTTTTACAATCTAGTTTGAGAATCAAAGGGCAAAACTGATGGAAACCAACACCGTGACAAAAATATTGGCACCATTAACGCATGCAGACATCCGAACAATTTCCAGTTAGTTATCAATAATCATTGGACCAAGCGTCTCGAGAACATATTCTTTGGACTGTTAAAAACTGGAAAAGCCGCGTTGTTTGATGAGGTTGGAAGGTTCTTTTAGCTAATACATTATTTTTATGCTAATTCTTTTATGTAGCTTATGCTTCTTCCACTAGCTTTTAACAGAATGCAAATTAGTTGAGATTCAATAGTGAGCGAATTTGTTAATAAAACAGGCAAAGCACTCAAGAAACAATCTGCCGTAAGGGAAGGGATGCCTTCATGAAGGACTTTATGAGAGAAACTGGTCGTGTACACGCTTTGCATAGGGCAAACCACGAAAACCCCATGTAAATAGCCCGTTTGCTGGTATTCCAATCCCGAACCTAACAACCAATGTTCATCGACATTACCACTCGGACAGCGGTGGGTCTCGTAGGTGAGGCAGACAAATAAGAGAAAGAGAATTATGGTAACTCGCCAGGGGGCTGATTATTTACCGAGTCGTCCACCTGTGTGCCAATTTGGTGTGGTACGTTATTTTAAATTGGTCTCGGCATAGCGATATAAGCCGCGGTAATTGTAGCCAGTTTGATTAGACATTGAAGTTACTTATCTGTCGGAAATATTTTAATACATGTAGTTCCACGATCTTCGAAAATAGTGGTGGATAAGTTTTTTTAGTTGTATGCACAAGACATAGTTTCAATAAACCTCTTCTATAAGTTTCATCCCCTTTCTCTGTATTTGAAGGTTTAGAGTTTTAGCGAAATTCAAAGACGAGATTTCATCGGAAACACTGGAAGATTGATTTAGTTTGATAGGTAATTATATATAACATTAATAGCTGCATTTTCTAGCATCAAACTGATATTCTTGCATGTGAATGAGAGGAAAGGTCAGTACATATACAAGCAATGGATTCTACTTGCATGATGTCGCCGCCTAGGCTGATGATGATAATTGTATGAACTGAGGAACATTTCCTAACATCCACTTACCCATTTCCCATGCCATTCTTCTGAGTTATTTTGTTTAGAAATTCAAGACTAGATGGTAAGACATTTGACCACCTTTATGGGTCCAGCAGTTAGAATATAGTGGATCCTATTTGGCATAGGAACTAAACTACTGTGCTGTCGTCTGTCGTGTTACAAAGGGCCTCCACATCGAACATCTGTGCATATCTATAGAAATCATTAAAGAAGAATATTTTATACTTGGCTATTTTGAAAATATATGCCTTCCTGTTAAATGTGAAAGTGTTATTACTATTCATTTACAATTTAAACTGGAACTTTGCTTAACCGAATTACATTAAACTACTTTGTTTTGAGTTTTCTCAAAAAGTGAATAAGGGAGCTAAGTTTGAGGAAGTAAGCAATAAAATTTGGCTTTCGAAAGAGTTTCCATTAAACTTTTTTTTTCTCATTGAAAAAGCAGTGAAGTGCTCTTTAGAAGAGTGCTATTAGTCTTGCCAAAACTGAGCACGTGTACAGAATTCTAAAATTTCTTTTCTCGTTGCACAGACGATCGATGTTAATGATGGCAGAGCTAGGAAGTTGATGGCCCAGAAGGCCTTGATCATGAAATCAGTGAAGCGGCGTTGCTAAAACATAGTTTCATAATAGATATTCGATTACTAAAGCTTTAGTTTTCTTTTTTTTTTTTTTTTTTTATTCATTTTACGCCGGTCAGTTGTTAATAGCATTTCCTACTGGACGAAAACGTATGTTTTTTTTTTTCATCAGGACTATTTCGTCTGGAAATACTGGACTTTTTTTTTTTTAACTTTTAGCAAAAATATATAAATGAATAACAATGTATAAATGAATCATAATGCATAAATGAATCATGAATTCATTATGATTGAATGCTCATAATAAGGCGAAATAAATCATAATGTATAATTGAAATCACATAAATATAAGCATGTGCTGATTAAATTTATGCGCAACAGAGAATGATTTATCAATTTTTCTGTAGCAGATCAAAAGTATTATGCGCGTTGGCTAAAACTTTCAAGACTTCGAATCAACACATGGTACGCCATTTTCAATTAAAATGCAACGAAAATATCCATTTTGACCTCTCTTGAATCCATTCGAGCGATGTTTTTTGCGTTACATCTGTACGTACAGGCTGAATAAAGAACTCGTTTAGGAATTTTAAAATGGATTCAGAAGAGATTTTTTTCCGTGATCTCTGTACCTACATATGTAGGTATTTCGCATAACTTAAAAACGAGTAGCTTCAGAACATTGAAATTTTGTACATGGGTTTGCTATGACATGTAGTTGTGCACCTAACCTTTTGGTTGCAAGCGGCCGCACCAAACATATATAAATATGCATATGTAGAATAAAAAATATGCAAATCAATATTCTAAATTAGCAGTAGTCGTTAATTCCAATTCTTTATTCTAAAACTAGAAAAATCTTAATAACTTTTCTGGACTGCATCATTTCTAGATCAATTCAGCTGATGACGTTGCTAATTCGGAAAATGAA